CATGAGCAAGTAACATGAACAATTTATCAAAGGGTTCCTCTTTCCATAATTAGGCCAGCTTTCCTTAAGAGCAGATAACCTATTTACCCACAACACCAAATTCTTTATAAAATCTTATGTCAAGCAACCAGTGGACTTATCTATTCCTTAGAATGTTTTAATACAAGAGCCTCATTTAGTAGTACTATCATCTTAAGGTGATAAGAAGGATGTGTCAACAAGACATCTGGATGGATGAAAACATCACTAACAGATAAAGATTGGGGAGGAAATTATAAAAGTAAATACCACGAATCACCCCACTAAAAGAAAAAAGTTCTATCCTCTTTTTTTTTTAAGGACATAGAGCAGATGTTATCTTCTTACAAGAAACAATTTGATTCATCAGGGCATACCACTTACTGAGCATAGCATTAAAGGTCAACTGTACTTTTCCTGCTCCAAATATAAAGCTAGGGAAGTCAGACTTGTTATTGCAGAGCGTGTTTTATGGGAAGTTAAAGATGAATGCCAAGGAAAGGAAATATGTTATGAAATGATCAGAGAGAAAAACTCAAATTCATACATTATTAATTTGTTTGTGCCTCACAATTAAGAAAATAGATGGTGTTTAGGAAACCAACAAAAGTGGTCATAAAATTTAGAGAAGGAGAATTTTGTTGAATATTAGCAAAGGATATGAATATGGTTGGAGATACATATTTTTAGAACTTCAGGGGCAGAATAGCAGGACTAACGTTATTCTTGAACACTAGAAATTGGCTGAAACTCTGAGAGCTAAACAGAAGTTGGGCATTCCCTAGATCCTACTACATTTTTGTCTCTTCCTTCTTGTTAAAAATGAATATGGGTTCATGATTAATTTCAGATCACGCCCCTATAATACCGGCATGGAAAATGAATAACTGGAATAAGAGTGGAAATTAAATTCATTATTATTACAGGACTCCCCTCTTAGAAAAAACGGCCTTTTGGTAATGATATCTGTGTTTACAGGATGATACAAGAGCTGTATTTTGTACCTGGATTAACTTGATGGCATATAAGAATTAGAAGCACAGAGGAATGTTTTAATCAGAAATTAATAAACTGAAAGTTAAACAAGATCAATCAAAACACATGGGCAGCTTATGCTCTTATGGAAATAACCGGATATTATTCATCTTATTTAAGACAAAGGTACCTTGTGAAAGACTGGCCCCGGTCACACGGGCCAGATATCGCGGGGGGGGAGGCGTGGCTGTTTGCCCCGAGGCTAAATAACGCGCGGTTGCGCGATCAGACCTCCCGTGGAGGTTCAGTGGAGGTCCCGTGGGTAGGGGGAGGTGCCGATCATAGGACAATTCTGCCGTGCGGCAAAGAAGCGGCGCAGTGCAGCAAACAGGTTTGGGGGTTTTTGTACACCAAAGTATGTGCATGCTCCGTTGGGTGCTTGTGCGCATCCATGGAGACTTGGGGGAAAATACCCCTTTTTGCAAGGGGACATGGGCGGGTGCCGGATGCCACCGGAAACGCGATCAGACGCCTGCCCTTGCCCCGCGGTTACCGGAAACTAGTACCTCGGAGGTACTAGTTTTTTACCCCACATCTTCGGCAGGAAGGCTCGGGTGAGCCACGGGAGCTCTACGCTTCCCAGATGTGGCAGTGAGATCGCGCCCGGAAAATCCGCCTATCTTCCGGCTCTCTAGCGTGGTTAATGTTCCGTGTGACCGCAGCCACTGTCTGTCTAATGAGAACGAGTGGCAGATGAGGAAGCAGAAAAGAGCCTGTAGTTCTAGTGGCAGCAGAGGAACATCTCACTGACATTTTTCCTTTTCCTGCTCATGCAGGGAATAAAGGCCAGGGTGTGCCCAGAGGCATAAGACAAAGGGTTTGTCCTTAGCCCAAGGGTCATAGCCTAAAGCTAGAAGGAAGATCTGGAGGGAGAGGAAGATCTGTTCCAAACATGAAATCTTTTGAAGTCAACTTTATACTTCTGAATTATCCAGTGAGGTTACTGTAAACAGCTTTTTCAATAAATTACAAATTCCCTAGTTTACACATTAAAATAATCAGGAACTAACTCAACCCATTTCACAGCAAGAGGACCATCTCCTTATGTACTGACCAGCCAGAAATTTAAGATCTTCATTCCAAGTTCTGTTCTCTGTGCTTCTGCCTACAGAGATGGGACAGATGACAACTAGAGACAGGGCTTTCTCAGTGGTGGCTCATATAGGTAATTCTTTGAGCATTTTGTCCACCATGAAGACAGATATAGATATGTCAATGCAAACTTACACTTCATATGCTGCTATAACCTTATTGAAAGGGCCTGATAGGGTGAGAGGATGATGTCATCAGTCATAACACAGCATGTCACTTAGGGCTGGATCCCATGAGACACCAATGGAAGGCACTGACAATCACAGATCTTCTCTGCTTTTCCCTCCCCCAACTGACATTTCTGACACAAGAGAAAATAGATTCCTGAGGCTGCAGTCCCCAGATGAGAAATAGCCACAGGGGCCCATTAGCAGCTGTGAGAAGGAGGAAGGAACCATACCCTTCCTACTTCTTCCCAAAATTAAACTTCTGTCAGCAGCTCTGCTCGTGGAAGAGGGAGAAGGGAGTGATTTTGCCCCCTCTTCATTGCTGCCCAGCAACCTGCACAGCTATAACTCCACAGGGGTTCCATGACCCCAATGATCTCCTGTGGTCAGAATGGCATCGGATAGAGAGAGGAAAATCTGCAATCCTTGTGGTCCCTAATCCTTGCACCAGCAGACTGTTGGCTCAACCGCTAGTATGTCCTTTATAGGCAAGCATGAGTCAGAGTATGGGTCAAGAATGTTTTTTTAAACACGAAAAACACTTTAAGAAACCCAACAAAGTAGAATGGGTACACTTCTGACAACTGCACCTTATACACTTCCAGTAAGCCATTTGGCCTTTAGTTCTACTTATCCTAGATCATTATGCTTTAACCATACACAGCACTCAATGTATACATACCTGTATGTCCTTCTCTTTTTCAGGAATGGGGCCATTGTGCATCAAGCTATGTCTAAAGGTCATGTAGCCATTTTCATAAAACCTTTGTGTTAGCTCATATGTGCAGTCATGCAAATTCTGGAGCTCAGCCAGTTCTTCTCCTTCCACCTGCATGCATTGGGCAAGATACACGTTTATTTAAATTATACTTTATACCCTTCTTTTCTCCAAAGACTGGAATCAAGGGGCTTATATTTCAAAATTTAAAACAGACCATCCACATTAAAAGACTACACAGCTAACAGAATGGAAAGGAATCAGCTTCTGAGTACCAAACAGAATGTCTCCCAAACCACTGGAACACCAAGGCTGTCAATAACCGAACTATGTCAAAGCATCATTTGAACAGGACTGTGTGGCAGAACGTCTTGAATTGCCGTGACTTAGAAGTAACTTTCTCCTGAAAAAGATAAGATTTGGGGGCAGAGTCAAGAACAGAAAAGAGGGGAGAAAATGAGATAAAAGTGAAGTACAATCAACAGAATTTGATATAAAGTGGCTCAAGTGGTTAAGACGCTGTACTGCAGGCTGTGGAAGGTCAGTAGTTCAGCAGTTCAAGACCCGGGTGCCGCAAGATGGGGTGAGCTCCTGTCTCTAGTTCCAGCTCCTGCCAACCTAGCAGTTCGAAAGCAAGAAATTGCAAGTAGATAAATAGGGACCACTTCGGTGGGAAGGTAACAGCGTTCCGTGCGCCTTGGTGTTTAGTCATGCCGGCCACATGACCACGGAAACGTCTTTGGACAGCGCTGGCTCTTCGGCTTTGAAACGGAGATGAGCACCGCAACCCTAGAGTCGGATTCGACTGGCTTTCGAGCAAGGGAACCTTTACCTTTACCTTAATTTAGGGCCATAACCTGATATCGCCCCATTGGTAACACAAAATGAGACACAAAGCAGGAAAATGCTACCTGTTATTGTATCGTACTTTGCTTTCAAGTGTTCATGGACACTCCTAACGACAGTGGTCTGGGCAACAGCTAATTTATGTTAATGAATCTATGTAACACATCATAACACAACAATTTACTGAATAAACTCAAAATTTTGCTTTCTCACCTACACAAGGAAGATTGTTTTGTCCCCAAAATTTTTAGGACTATATGCATTAATTACAAGATAACTGAACCAGTGTTCCCTGTAAGCTGAGTTATGTGTGCTGGGTGCACTGATTTCCGACGCCCAGTGTATCAATTTCCTTCTCAGCGCAGGGGTATTGGGAAGGCCACTTGGTTGCACTAACTATAGAGAGCAGCTGGGAGCTCTTCTGGCAGAATGGAGTGACCTGTGGGCTGCTGCGGCTGCCAAAACTCAAACCGCCTTCCCGCTGATGCTGCTGCACCCAGCCATCCTGCAGGTCCAGGCGGGGGAGGTAGGAGAGCTGGGATCAGAGTGCACCTGGCTGCCAAATGGTGGGGAGGATGGAGGTCGGGGAGAGGTGCTGGGCAAGAATAGAGATAGGGAGAGGTCAGGGGGGAGTGTTGGACCAGCAATGTGGTCAGCGCTTTTCTGTGGCCTCCGGTTGCCAGTACTGTCAGTGAGTGGCTTGCTTTCTCCTGCAGTCCAGTTTAAACTGGGGTACAGGAGAAAGCGAGCCCCAGGAACTCCTGTGCCGCATGGAGCACGTTGCTCCAGAGGCCACTTCCGCACTGTCGTTTTTGTCACTTGTTTGTCCCTATTGCTTTGGGTGCCCCCCTCCCTTTTCCACATGTGTTTTGCTCCCTCTGGGACTACCAGAGAGAGCAAAACACAATGCGGGGGAACCCTGAAGCAATAGGGACAAACAAGTGACAAAAGTGACAAATCCTGGAATTGCTTACTCCTGTAGTTAGTGCAGGGGAAGGTTTTCTCTCTCTGTCTTTTTCTCTCTCTCCCTTTCTGTTGAGGTTTGAGAGCTGAAAGCATGGAGAGGCTGGGGAGCTACTTTCCCTCCCACTCTGGGCTGCTTCCCTTGCAGCCTTTCCTTTCTTTCTTCCCTTCTTTCTGTGTTTCACACCTTCCAACAACCTAAGAGGAAACTCTACACATGGACATCACTAGATGGGCAACACCGAAATCAGACTGATTATGTCATTTGCACTCAAAGACGGAAAAGCTCTATACAGTCTGTAAAAACAAGACCTGGAACTGACTGTGGCTCAGATCATGAGCTACTCATTGCAAATTTAGGCTTAAACTAAAGAAAGTTGGGGAAACCACTAGGCCATTCAGGTTTGACCTAGATCACATCCCTGATGAATATACAGTGGAAGTGAAGAATAGGTTTAAGGGACTAGATTTGATAGACAGAGTGCCTGAAGAACTATGGATGGAGGTTCATGACACTGTACAGGAGGCAGCAATCAGCACCATCCCAAAGAAAAAGAAAGGCAAGAGGGCAAAGTGGCTGTCTGATGAGGCTTTACAAATAGCAGAGGAAAAGAGGAGGGTGAAAGGCAAAGGTGAAAAGGAAAGATTTACCCAACTGAATGCAGATTTCCAGTGAACAGCAAGGAGAGATAAGGAGGCCTTCCTGAATGAACAATGCAAAGTAATAGAGGAAAACAATAGAATGGGAAAGACTAGAGATTTCTTCAAGAAAACTGGAGAAATTAAGGGAATGTTTCATGCAAAGCTGGCCATGATAAAGGATAAAAACAGTAGGGACCAAACAGAAGCAGAAGAGATTAGGAGGACCTCAATGTCCTTGACAACCACAATGGCGTTATCATTGACCTTGAGCCAGACATCCTGGAATGTGAGGTCAAATGGGCCTTAGAAAGCATTACTAAGAACAAAGCTAGCGGAGGTGATGGTATCCTAGCAGAGCTATTCAAAGTCTTAAAAGATGATGCTGTTAAAGTAATTTCTTTTTTTTTTTTTTAATAAGGGTTTTTTTATTATTCTGAACAATATATTCAACAGTACATTCAGAACACATATTAATACCATGCAATAATCAACATTCTCAACCCGTAAGAGCCTTTTAAAAATATAACAGATCTTTGTAATAAGAGTTGTTTGGAATCACTTCTTCTTCTGCGAGATATTCCACTGCTGGGAACCAAGTTGCTTGAAAATCTTTTTGGTGAGAGACTATTTTACCATATACAAAGTGTTCCCAGATTTTGTTTTGCCAACTTTGTAGAGTAGGTTGATTTTTGTTTTTCCAATAGTGGGCTAATGTTATTCGTGCAATTGCTAACAATGTTGCTATTAATTTTCTAGTGACTTTTCTTTCGCAGGTATCTGGGATGACATCCAACAGGACTGTTTCAGGTAGAAAAGGTAAGTTAGTTCCCGTAATTTTGTGAATTTGTTGAACAATTTGTGTCCAGAATTGTTGAGCAGAGGGACAGGACCACCAACAATGCATAAAATCTCCAATCTTCCCACATTTTTTCCAACAGAGTTTATTTATTTTTGGGTCTCGGACATTTCTGAGCCCCCTGAAAGCCCCTGCATGGGGCTCGCAGCCTGGGGTACCTCTTCCAAGGTGACGGCTGAGGAATTGAGGCCCCCTTTTACCCCGATAGGTTCCCCTGCCGCGAGACCATCATGAAGTTTAGAAGCACATGCTGGATGAGGCGAGCAAGTGATCTTGCGATTCAGAGCCCTTCCTATGTCGGAAAAAAATTGTTGGAATAAACTGTGAGTTTCAGCGAAACCCCGATGAGCTAACCAACTGCCAATCACAAGCCCCAAATTATCATGGCAGGAGGGGAGGAGCAGGGGAGTCCACCCGCTTGAAAAGAAAAGCGGTTTTTAAGTGATAGCTTGGAGGCAAGAGACAGTTCTAACTGTAAAAGCTGCAACATAGCCGAAAGGGGTGCAAAGTAGTCCAAAGTGGAATAAAATAAACAGACTTACAGATGACTCAAACTGACTTTTTCTTATGTAAACAATGTCGACCAGAGAGGACAAAATGGTGAAAAAGATAAGACCTTCACCAGGAAATGCCAGTTCAGTGACCTTAGCTCTTGAACTGGAAGCAGTCACTGACTTCCCAAACATGACGGCCATGGCATTGCGCCCTCTGCTGGACCAGATGACTAATATCAATAATAAACTAGACTGTCTCCAGAAACAAATGATGGATACAGCAAAGAAGACAGATGAAACTAATGAAGCATTGAAAAAAGTTGATGATAAGGCAAACGCTATTAAGCAGTGATTGGAGATAGTGGAGAAAGAGTGGATCTCCGATAAAGAGCAATTGTTAAAGCTACAAATGGAGAAATCACTACACGTCCTATGATTGCAGAGTATCCCAGAACAACAAGGGGAGAACTTAAAAGAATTACTGAGCAAAGCACTAGCACCAATGACAGATTTAAAATCAGATTCACTACAAACGATATGGATATGGTTTATTGAACCTATCCGGATTTTATCAAGAAAAAAAAACCGCCTGATGAAATATTTGTTAAATTCTCCAAAAGATCAACAAGAGATGCAACTTTAAAAGTGACAAATGGGAAATCACTGAAAATCAAAGGCGAAGAGGTGAAGATCTTAAAAGACATTCCATTTGAAATACGCAAGAAGAGACGACAATATAAAAAAATAACTTCTTTTCTACGCAAGCACTCCCTTCAGATGGATATTCCCAAAAGGACTTATCTTCAACTATAATGGAAAGAAAGAAAAGATAGACTCTGCTGAAAAAGCAAAACTGTTCCTGGACCAACAACAATAATTGTCTAAAGTCAAAGAGAAAGCAGAGGACAATGCATAAGCAGAAGAAAAGAGCGATCATGACTCAGAAGTCAGTGAAAGTATTTTTGGCACTTCTACAGAAGAGTCTGATTCTGAAAAAGGAGTAGCAGCTCCTAAAAACCTTAAAGTCCAACTGAGAGTTGATAAAGCTACGTACAGGAAATAATGATTATAATGAATCTGAGTCTATTTGTGTTTTAAGATACTATGATGTACTCAATAAGGCTAAATGGGCTTGACTTAGCTTTAGTGATATAAGATACTCAGTATTATTCTATTATATGCTTTATTCTAATAATAGTAGGAAGGACTAATAGGTAACTTACATGTAACATGATCCTTGCTATATCTCTTGTTTTATTAGTATTAGTATCCCTTATGTCCCTTCCCTATCTAGCTTGTAGTAAAAAAGCAATTAGAAAATTACCACAAAAAAGGAAAACGAAGTGTGTGTGTGGCTTTCTGAAAACACTCCAAGAGGGAATAAGTGTGTTGTTAGAATGGGCAGAGCAATGAACTTAACACAGTACTATCTCCTAGTTGATCAAGAATATCTCCATTTTGAACAGCCATATCAGGAGAATCAGTTCATTAGACCCTGACACTTGAGTCAGCTTTGAATGACTGCCCTGAAGCTGCCAGGAAGCAATCTGAATGTCTTTCCTTCCTTCCTTAGTTAGAGCAAAACAGAAAGGAGGGTGGAAGATTAAAATTACTGAATAAGAGTTTGAGAGTGCAAAACCCAGATTTACATGGTAAAATTAACAGAGAAAAGTCCATCTGTAGGAGGATGAAGAGATAACAGTATGATCACAGCAAATATTTTTTAATAATTTTATTAATTTTTTCCAACAAAAAATAAAAAGGGGAAGAAAGAAAAAAATACAAAACATTACAAAAAAGATACACAAAATACAAAAAGAGGACAATGTTGTATCAGATTACTGGCAGAGGGCTTGATATTTAGCATGGCCCCTGTACAAGGATCACAGCAAATATGTTTTGTCAAAACACGATCACTTTTTTCTTAGGTACAGTATGTACGCAAAATTTTTATGTCATTGATTTTTTTAAAAAATGGTCTTTTCAAATTTTGGGGATGGGTGCTGTGGTCCTATTTCTAGAAAGTAAAGATGTTTGCTAGATTTCTCTGTGAAATGCATTTTTGTTGGAGAGCTTGAAGCTTGTGTTTCAAGGGTTCTGCGGGAAGGTCTGCGCTACATATGCCAATGTGTCCAAATGCGGTGATGCCACACATAGTTTACACAGAGTGTGAATATATATTAAAAATGTAGGCCTGCTCACAACTTTAAGGCTAACAGATCTTTCGGCGCACAAGGTAAAATTTCTGCTCACAAAACATGGCTTAGAACTGAGGTGTCAAACTCGTTTGTAACAAGGGCCAGATCTGACGTAAAAGTTACTTTGTTGGGCCAGGCTATGTCTGTCATAAAATGAAATGCCAGGTACCAGAGATATAGCTTTTAAATGACACAGGTGAACCCAATTAATGGTATTTTTTATTCATAATACAAACAAAAACAATTGATTCCTAGGAGTGACAGTAATTGTTTACTGGGGAATCCAACAAAAGCCTCAATAAATGTATTTAATCTTATGCAAGACTAGTTTTTTCCCCAAGGGATACCATACCTACTCCCTAGCCATTTCCTTTCATTTCTTGACGGCTTTGACCACACACATCTCACCGTGTGTGCCTGCACACCTGCTCCCCCCCCCAAAGCAGCCTCCTCCCTTTCCTCTCTTGCATCACTTGCTTGCAAGGCCAGGTAAGAGCTCTGAACCAGCTGGTTCCACCCCCTGGGCCGCATGTTTGACACCCCTGGCTTAGAGGGAACATTGCAGTGCACTAAATCTTTGGCAAATTAATTCGCAAAGTCTAATTTTACCTAAGAAACCAAGAGTTAGCAACATACTTTTCTATTTCAGGAAGTATTTCCATTTTTCTTTGTTATGGTAATGAAGAGTGAAAAAATGTCTTTACCTCTCAGTGGTAGCTTTTGTGTATTCAGTTGCACACCTTTTCCCTTCCTTCCCCTCTTAAAATAGCATTTTTCAGAAAACCTGATAGTTTATTAAATTTAGAGACGTAAAGCCCTGGTGAAAAAACAAACAAACAAACAAAAACTGGAAACACCCCCCCCCCGAGGACTTTTTCAATTTTTCCAATGGGAAAAAATGGGAAATTTAGGGGAGCACTGAAAAAAACCAACACTTATACTGTAGACATATACAACATGTGCAGCAGTGGTTTTTTTTAAATGTAAATAATTTTGGCGACAGTATGTCACAATCTCTCTCTCATGGATCGCTGCCTTGACGTGGCGAGGGGGCTTGTATGGTTTGATGAGGCTGTGGACTATGCTGTGGAGGGCCACCCAGGACAGACATGCCATGGTGGACAATTCAGACAAAACGTGATCCACTGGATAAGGAAATGGCAACCCACTCCAGTATTTTTGCCAAGAAAACCCCATGGACAGTAACAAAATGCTAAAAGATATTATGCCGGAAGATGAGTCCCTCAGGTCAGAAGGTGTCCAATATGCTACTGGGGAAGAGCAGTGGGCAAGTACAAGTAACCCCAGAAAATATGAAGCGGCTGGGCCAAAGCTAAAAGGACGCTCAGCTGTGGATGTGTCTG